TGGATGATTTAGTTGGATAATGATCAATCGTATTAATTTGTTTTAATAAAATTATTAAGAGAGAAAAATTCTCGGGGGTCACAGAAATCTTTAAATTCGATCCAAGCGTAATGTGTTCGAGACGATTTATCTCGGATCGAAGAAAATCAGAGTGAAATTTTTCGATGGCCTCGAGACACGAGTGGATGGAATGCGTTAACGGGAACATTCAGCGAGGCTAGGTCAATGCCGATCGACCTCTCGCTCAGTTTCTTTGCCAAATACGAAGGTCGATCGATCGAGGATGTAGCGGATGACGTAGATCATCCTCGATCTTCGACGTTCTAAAAGGTCAACCCGTGTAATTCATCCTTCGATGCCCAAGAAGAAAGTTATTATCGACTATTTTCCAACTTGAACTTCTGAGATTGCTATTACATTTCAAGATCAATTAAATGGATTGCACGCTCTGCAAACTTCGATGAATAAATAATCGAGAAGGTAATAATCATTGAAAACGCACGAATGTTAAATTAAATTGAAGGAAAATTATCGATTAAACGACAAGTATTTGTGTATCCAAAAAAATAATCGTCAGAATTTACAGATTTCTTTGTTCTTTTTTTTTTTTTTTTTCAGAAATATATTCTTTATGAACACTACGTTTCACTCCATTTTATGAAAATATGTTCGTCCATCGTCGATCGATTCCACGTAGCGCTTTAATTCGCCCAGAATCTTGTCAAGTGACTTTTACCGGTTTTTCTCGTCTACGTCGTGACTCGATTCGATGCTCCGGATGGCCTTGAAAACGGCGACAAAATACGAAATATCACGGCGTAAATCCACCGTGTCGATTTATGTTCCCTTCGTTTTAATGTCAAACGCGAATAACACGAACACACTTCGAAAGGAGATAAGCGCTTATCAAGGACGAGGTCTATAAATGACGATAATTATAGCTTTAAAGGGTAAAGGAAGCCGCTTAACCGCCACGATCAATTTTTAAAAGCCGCGATATGATCGTGATTCCCTTAAAACGTTTCTATCCTTAATTAATCCCTGATTAATTCCTTTCATTTATTCGATTGCTGTACACGAATTTTCTGTTATCCCCGCAAAATTATTTATCTTTCGAGTTGGGATAAGTCAATTTGAATCGAATCGAAAAAGTATAAACTCAAAAACATATTAAGAAACAATATGATATATCTATATATATATTTACTCAATGTATATAAGACAAGCAATATACTTAATTTTACATGACTTTTTTCTATATAATTACATATAATAATAACACTGTCCATTTTGTCAAAGAAATTAATTAATTAAATCTTACTCTTTATAATCTTACACCATTCAATTATACAATGTTGGAAAAATTTCACAAGAAAGATCCAATGACGTTATCATTGGATTTCCTCCTCGCTTTGTACGAAAATTTCGCTTCGAAACAGTGTTTGCGTTCAACGATCCGAGATAATCGTAAAGCGAACGTTTCGTTCGTTTCGCAATGAAACGTGGAGACGACGGCGCGATGGTTACGGTGTTCCTTACGGTCTCGCGTACCAGCGTGGCCGTGGTACGCGTACGAGTCGCGTCCCGTTGATATCGCGCCAACACGCACCACTGATAATATCTTTAATTACCGCCACCTGGACGAGGAGGGGCCTCTGACTCGATCAACGACAACACCGTGTCGGGATCGAAGTTTGACGAGTCGATTCGACGACAGTCGAATCGCGACTTAATGACGGCGGATAACGTATGCGCTAAACTAGTCGCTTATCTTCGAATCTTGAACGATTCGAAGACTGGCTGATAGGAATTTCTTCCAATGTTTAACCAGTCTTTGATTAATCGATTAATCTTTATTCGTTCATTTAAATTCTATTAGATACAGAGAAGTAAGGTTTGTGATCCATAGATTATTTAAATATTCAGTGCTTTTGGAATTTTGTGACATATTGGGAATAATTTTTTTTTTATATAAATGATTAGTTATTTTTGTAACTTTATGAGTTAAATATGTAGAAAAGTAAGAATGAATGGAAATCATTTATAGAGACATTGCTTTAAATTCTATTAGAAAAATAGAGCTTGATCATACACTTTTGTAACTTTAAAAGAGTTTATAGAGAATTTTGATGATTAATTTTATGAATTAAATATGTAGAAATATAACTACGAAATCATTTATAGAGACATTGCTTTAAATTCTATTAGAAAAATAGAGCTTGATCATACACTTTTGTAACTTTAAAAGAGTTTATAGAGAATTTTGATGATTAATTTTATGAATTAAATATGTAGAAATATAACTACGAAATCATTTATAGAGACATTATTTTAAATTCTATTAGAAAAATAGAGCTTGACCATACACTTTTGTAATTTTAAAAAAGTTTATAGACAATTTTGATGATTAATTTTATGAGTTAAATATGTAGAAATATAACAATGAATGGAAATCATTTGTTTTAAATTCTATTAGAAAAATAGAGCTTGATCATACACTTTTGTAACTTTAAAAGAGTTTATAGAGAATTTTGGTGACTAATTTTATGAGTTAAATATGTAGAAATATAACAATGAATGGAAATCATTTATAGAGACGTTGTTTTAAATTCTATTAGAAAAATAGAGCTTGACCATACATTTTTGTAATTTTAAAAAAGTTTATAAAGAATTTTGATGACTAATTTTGAGTTAAATATGTAATGTAGAAATATAACAATGAATGGAAATCATTTATAGAGACATTGTTTTAAATTCTATTAGAAAAATAGAGCTTAATCATACACTTTTGTAACTTTAAAAGAGTTTATAGAGAATTTTGATGACTAATTTTATGAATTAAATATGTAGAAATATAACTACGAAATCATTTATAGAGACATTGTTTTAAATTCTATTAGAAAAATAGAGCTTGATCATACACTTTTGTAACTTTAAAAGAGTTTATAGAGAATTTTGATGACTAATTTTAAATATGTAGAAATATAACAATGAATGGAAATCATTTATAGAGATATTATTTATTTAAATTTTATTAAATATATAGGAAAATAGAGCTTGATCATATACTTTTAAAACTTTAAAAAATAAACTAAATTTAAAAAAATTTACAAAGAATTTTGATAACTAATAATTTTTTAATATTTCAAAACAATGATTTTTTATAACTCATTTCTCAATCCTTAAAATACTCGTGATTTTTGAATCGTCACATGATTATTTCTTTTTTTACAAATAATATTAATACAGACAATTTTAGAACGATGGAATCAACGCAAGTGACTTCTCCATCTCGCCACATTTTCGAGATCCAAAGCCTGGAAGACTTGCAGGCGTCCAAAGTTCTCGTTTCGTCTAGGAAACGAACATTTCCTCTCGTGGAAGCCTCGCGTGGTCTCGCGATTCTCCACTCGTTCAACGTCCGAAAGACACGCCCGGTATTGCTTTCAATTAGCAGCACCTGGAGATCGGTATCCGGTACCATCGCGGCCAACGACAGAGGTGAGCTCGCCGCGCAAAAGTTCGCCGATAAAGCGAGCCGCGATCCTCCGCGGGAACTTAATAATGGTAATTACAAGGAAGCCATGAAAATTTATGATGTTATTCGGTTGAATGTGCGCGCGCGCTCGAACCGTATGGAAATGGAAGGTAGTAAAAAACTTGAAAACTTTTTCCATCTTCCCGTGTCTTTTCTTCGAGTATATATTCCATAAGTTAACGAAGGAATATTACGATTGTGATAATAATCGTGATGATGATAATTGAAAAATGGTTTTTGGAAAATGAGAAATATATCAAATGGATATATTATACAAATTTATGGAATAGTGTATTGAAAAGGAAAAAAATTGAAGTAATGAATTTACTACGTAAAAAGTTTAAAATTAGCAAGCGATTTATGAACGAGACATAGCATAATTATTTCGAATTATTTCGGTATTTTGCCTTTCAGAAAAATACGTTGTCGAGGAAGGGGACGTGTTTTGTTGTTTCGTTATGTCTCTTAATTTGTGTGGAATATCTTGTGTATCCGCATATGCGATGCAATTAGTGATCAAATTCTTCGATATTGCTAAGTATCGGCGCCAATATTGCTCGCGACGAGAAATTGGAATTGCGTTTGATGTTCCGACGATGGATTCCCGGCAAATGGACAACTCGTGTTCGCAAATTTTATAGCGCCATTTTTGAAAATAAGAATTCGGATATTTTGGATATCGGTGGTTTTTTTTTTCAAAGAAATTATTTTAAAAGTATCATCAATTTGTAATTATAAATATTGCGCATTATTATAAATTAAATTTATTCAAGTAATAGTAATAGGTTTATGCAAGAGAAAGATCAATGAATTGGAAAAACGATCGAAATAATTTCTATGCAAATATTCTTAATCGACGCGTTCGCTCTGGCGTAAGTTTCCTTTTTCTCTCTCTTTCTCTCTCGTCATTATCTCGATATTATTCAGCGCTACGTTAATAATATGTGACTCACGACAGAGAACAGAAAAAAAAAAAACAAGTTTGATTTGTTTTTGCGGATCATTGCGGAGACCTTGCATAGAATGCTTACGAGTCACGAATTCCGCTTTTAATTTCACTATCTTGTCACGAGATTTCTACCTCATTTATCTAATTTAATCTCAACTGTGACAGTACATTTAATTACTTAGATCTATTGTTTTCAATAATAAATGCAAAAGTGTGTTGCAAATGCAACAGTACATGAATATAAATCAATTAATAAAAGAAACCATAAAGCTACTATTTAAACGAACGTAATTAATGTTCTGACTAAATGGATCGAAACTTAAATAGTAGAAAATAAACTTTATATTTATTTCTATATATATATATATATATATATCTTTAATATTTTTCATCTCTAAGCTTAATTATGAGGACTTAGGACACTTTCAATTCGTATATTATTTTTATTATTTTACCACTTTACGAGGTACTATTTTATATCTATATCCTAACTTCAACGTTTAACTTCAACATCAAACTTTCAACCACCAAATGATTATCCTATCTCGCAACGAGTACCTCGATTAAGCAACAATGTAGGTAAGTACACGAAGCAATAATCCACTACGTACAACATCCAGCCACCGTAAGCTCGGAAGCCTTCGAGCTATTCGACCGGTCGCGCAGTATCGTCGCCTCTCACGCGGTGGCTGGTGAGGTCAAGGAACACGGCGCGTCGACCGATCTCATTTTTCGTTGGCGCTTGGTACGAAACGCGCGCGCGCGTATCAGGCGCAATGGTTGCAATGCGTCCCTCGGCGCATGGATCGCATCTCGGCCTCGACCGATGTTAAATGGCCGCCACGGCGCGCCGGGACGCAAACTAATGCCCCGCGTCCAGCTCGTACACGTAGCGGCGCGACTGCTACCGAGCTCGGTGCCGGATTCCGCGGCCCACCGCGTAATGAATCCACTTTGCGCCGTGCCGCGTTTCCTTCGACTTTTTCCACTTCCCCTCCCGCCCGATCGGTCTTTCTTTCTCTCCGTGGCAGGCCACGAACGCCACTTAATGAAATGTCACAGGTGTCCTACCGATCGCCGAGCTAAATGTCGCCGGCTTCCCATACCCCGCCTCGGCGAGCCAAGCGATTTCGACTTTACGCGGAATGCCGTGAAGATGACGCCGCAGATACCGACCGGTACCCTGCTCTCTCTTCCGAACCCGCGATCCTGGAATCTTATCTCGTGTCGACAGTGTGTTTGTGACTCTTGGTAAATTGTAGGGAGGAGTTGGGTTATGGAATTTATTTATTTTTTTTTTTTCTTTTTGTTTGGATCGTTTCGAATCACGTATATTTCTATTATTCTCGACCGATTCGTATATATAGATGATATAATGTCTATTTTTTCTTGCATTTAACATAACCTATATCCAGATTAAAGACTGTAAAAAATTACGCATAACGGTGCAATACGTAGATAAGTACATATTGATAATAACACAAGCTGTCGACTTAACATGGATAACACAACGATTCCCGTGAATCGAATTCCAGAAAATAGTGGAGAAAGCGATGCTGAAATGTTTAGATACTTACATACCTTGCGTATTTTTTTACGTGTAAATCGAATAGAACGAGATACATCAGTCAGCTTATTCAGTGATTTATATGTTCAACAACCTCTCCAATCATCGCCTCATCACTAATGTGCAAAGAAATCCCGCACTGACAAGTATGTAGAAAGCATATGATAGAAATTGCACAACTAGGATATATTCAGTAGAAAAGCGCATAAAGTGCAGCCATGTCAGGTTTCAACTGAGGTCTTGAAAAGATAGGGAGAGCGACGATCTAATTCCTATTCCGCTGCCCTCTCGAGGCACGTCGATGAATTATGATACGCATACTTACGAACCCCCTTGTTCACGGTTCTGTACACTGATTCCGATCGCTACCTCTCGCCGTGCGTCGATCTATCGATCGATCGATCGATCGATCCGTAAAGCGACCTCTTTGGATTCGATCGATTTTTCTCGTTCATCTTCGTGGACTGTTCGAGAGAAACGTCAAAGCCATCCGTCACCGATCATTACGCGCTCGCGGATTTCAATGTCCTTGTTAAAAGGGATTGCCTCGTGCGGTGACCTACGACACGCGGCAAGCTGACGAGAAGATAGATGGCGGCGCACGATTTCGCCGACTGTTCTGCTTAGAGCGCAGCCAACTTGTTACGATTTGTTGCAGCATGGGAGAACGGTATCGTGGAGGAAAACCTGCACACGAGAAGCGAGACATCTCTATCCTGGTTAAGTCTTTTTCAATTTCTTTTGTTTTCCAACTGAAGAATATGTAGATATTGTTAAACGAGGAAGTTAAAGGAATTTATATCCACGTAATTGATGTTTAAAGTTAGGTTAGGAATTGAAAAATTTGAATGTATTGTTACTTGTTGCAGATATGTACAAAATCTATTAAGATCGTGTTATGCAAATTGCGTTAATTGCGACAATAAAAAGCTTTCATGACTCAATATATCTTAATTGCTAAATAATAATTGAATGATCCATTAAATCACTGAAAAATCGTGCAAATTTAATTCTATGGAAACGAATAAGAAATGTGTATATATATATACACGAAATAGATTAGTGATTAACGATATAGGATAAAAAGTCATAGAATCATCATAAACATTGCAATTTAACTTTTATGGAGATGACGGTCGCTTTTGATTTACTTAACATGTTTCATTTAGCAAGAACAAGTTGGTCTCTTGAGTTTAACGGGCCACCTTCGAATACGTACAAGGTAGATCTTCTAAGTGACGTACACGGAAATGTTCCTTACAAATGGTCTTAAGCAAGTTGTAAACTCGTAAAGCGCATAAATTCGAATGACACGTGGAACAAGTAAGAAAGTCCTTGCGATTTAAGGTATTCTAAGGTATTCTACAATTCTGGATTATATAAGTAAATATTCTCAATATATATAACTTTAAATTGTTCAATTATTCATAATTAATTCTTTCTTTCATCAATTTTACAGTTCTTTTCTCTTCGTCGATTTTTATTGACGAAACATCTGAATTTCTTGAAATCAACTCGAAGTTTAATCCAACCAATGGTACATGCGCATAATCGCGTTCTCGTTGCTTGTCACGGGGCCCGCTACGTTTCCGTGAGTGCGATTTACGCCGTGAGCGTGGTCGTCGGTCGAAGCCAGGATAAGCGGCGTTTTATGGAGCCCCATGCGCCGCTCACTCCATGGCGGAAGGGACGCACTTTGTTCCGCGGCTGCGAATGTATCCCCAGGCCTCGATCCACCCACAAGGAAGCACTTGAAGAAAGAGAGAGATGCCTTGTCGCGGAAAGATTGTGGTCCATACGACGTGTCAGTTGAATTCTCTATATGGTGTCGCACTGACAAAAGAACATTAAAGCAATATGACTGTCTTTTAAGAAATATTATAACATTTTATTTTTTTGCTTTGAATAATTGACCATTTCGTCATGTTATACATATTTACATTTAACATAAATTTTGATTTATTATTTTACAAAATAACTGGTTGATTTGAAATGGTAATAATCTAATTTAAACTTCATTTTGCTATCTTTATTTTTTGGAATGTTTTTTCTTCATATAACGGAATTGTACTGGTATACGATATTTAATGCTGAATTTTACAGGAAACTAACGTCGTCTATTTCTGGACACCCTGTATGAGAAGATAAGTCGAAAGACAGCAGCGGAGAAGCAGTTAGGCGCAAGAAGGAGTGACGGAGGGAGGCAGAAGAAGAGAGACTCGGCAGGTGAGGTGTCACGAGGCGCGCGAGTAATATATCGTTGTTCGGCCCATCGTAGGTGGGTGTGCTCATCCCGTGGTGCTCGGTCTCTGGTATCTCACCCATGCCCCTGGCGCTAAGAGAAGAAGAAGGCTAATGCTGGTATAAACGCGCCCGATCACTTTTTTTCCTCAGGCTCTTTCTCCCTCTTACCACCTCTTCCTCTCTCTTTCTCTCCTACCCTTTTTGATGTTTCTCTTTCTCTTTCCGCAAGATTGCTATTAGCAAATGCCAACGTGAAACGTGCACACCCGCGCTCACCTGCCTGCCACTACACCTCGCCGATATTTTTCTTTTTGGTATTTTGTACTACAGAGATTTAGACAGATCATGAAACAGTTATTATATTGTCCTTCTTAGAATGTTTTATCTAGCTATTGAGGAGAAAATTAAAATTTAAAAATGCATAGAACTTGAAAGGACTGTACAGGATATTAATGAAAAAGTAAATAAGATGACACTGTTTTATTTTATCTTGTTTTAATTTAATAAATATGATTTTATGTCATGATTTTTTATAGAATATATTAATAATATAATAATATAATATTAATAATATATATAATATTAATAATATTAATAATATACTTGTAGAAAGAGCAGATGTTCACCATATAAAATACCATCTAATTATAAGAAAAACAACCAACAACTTATGACACAATAGTAATAAGAAAATTGATAATACAGTTAGTAAATTATAGATATTACTCAAATGGTTCTTAATTATTTTAATTAAGTTTCAAACAACTGGGATGTATTTTTAGTTGGAGAATGATTGGTTCCAACAAGGATTCTTGGAAGGGCG